CTGAAGGAACGTTTTGAAGGACCATACCGAATCCTCCGAGTTGACAATCATGGTCAAGACGTTACACTGGAACTCCCAGAAGGGGACCAAAGACACCCAACTTTCCACATCTCCAAAGTCAAACAATATTACTTCCCAGAGGACAACGAAACATTGGCTAGCAGAAGTAAGTCCAACTCCTCTGATGCACCTCCGGGCTCTACTACAAAAAGTTAGAAGACATCACCTTGGCCACTCTGTGAGCACTCAACTACCCACCACAGGTATGGCCTCAATTGTCGATGGCGAGAAACGAGGCGAACTCAAAAAACACTGGCAACGCAACATTGCTTGGACCCTTGAACAGCGATTCAGAATTCTCCCTATCTCACACCATCTCTCCTTCCTCTTATCTTCCACCACTTTCCTTCCCCTCCCTCTCTATTCCCCTATTCCCATTCCCTTCCTTCTCCTTTCCTTCTACTCTTATCTTCTCTCCTCTCCTTCCTTTTCCCAATTTTCCTTTTTTCTTTTCCTCACCTTTTTCTTTTTCTTCTTTTTTTCCTCGTTCATTGTATTTTCACTCGCAATATAGGGGGGGAGAATGTGAAACCTGGCCACACTAGATTTCACAGAACCAATCACACAGCTTACATAATCACCCCAACGAACAGAATTACTTATACTAGACAAAAATATCATTGTTCCTGGTTCGGTAGAGAACACTAACCATTACCTCTACCGAACTAGGTGAGTTATTCCTAATTTCCTCTTTCTTATCTCTCATAATTATTCACAACTGTTCTTCATAAAAAGTCTTCATATTTCTTTCTTTCATTGTATCTATAAAAAAATCATGTAGAGAGAACACTAACCATTACCTCTACCAAACTAGTCTTTTGAAATAAAATCTCACTCAGGTTCTAGAATTGTTCTCTCCAGGCCGTTTGCCTGTCTTACACCTGAAAACCTTCGATTCGTAGTGAAGAGCCAACGGCACTCTTACAACGCTTAGTGAGCGTTAGCGGTAGTGAAAGCGTATCAAAATTTGGCTCACTTTGCTCCGCTTACAGTAGCACCCTTAACACTCCGCTTTTCCCTGACAGATTTGGGGGAAAAAACTTGGATCTTAGCGCACCAATAGTAGTGGCTATTTGTGAATCACCACTATGCTTTCCACTTGAATAGCAATTCAAACACTATGTAGCAGTAGTGGTGACACAATTTGAATTGTAGGAAGAGCATAATGCAATAGGGACTTGAGGTGGGGGGCGGGAAGGAGTAGTACTAAAGATGATGAGATTCTGGGTATAGCTATCTGGCAGGGGAGTGGCCTCTTGACCGGCCATTTGAAAGTGGGTGTGGATCCCTATAGGGAGGGTTGGGGTTTAGGGGTATGTTTGATGACATGGCTAGAGGTCAATGTACCTCCCTGACCAGAAGGGTTTCCTTCCAGTCGATGAGGTAGATGTACCTCATTGATCGGAAGGGTTTGTCAAGACTCATGGGGGCGGTACCCGTAGCGGTACCCGGGTACCTCCCCTTTCTTTGCCAAAAAAACGGCACCCAGCACCGCCTGGCGGGTGCGAGGAGGGTGCGGGCGGTACCCGCCGAGCGGTACTAGGTACCTAGCAACGGGTACCGACAAACAATCTCTACTTTCCAGTGGACAAGTGATCAATTTTTGAGCTAATGCACAAGAGAAATGGGGACTTTTGAGAAAAAGGGTCCAAGAAGGAGAAGATCCTTTTTTGGGAGAGGCTCACAGAAAAAGAGTGGAAGAACCAATGCAACCTCAAGTAGAATAAATACAAGGGGTGTTGATAAATGCACTCCAGCCCCCCCCCGGCGCACGCCAAACCGCACACCAGGTGCGGATTGGGGTGCACGCCTGCACGCCAAAGAAAATTGGTGTGCGGGCCCGCATGCCAATCTACAGAGTGTAGACCAGCGTGCAGGCCTGCACACCAAGGATTCCTAAACGCATATGTATACATATGCTTTAGGATTGCTGCTGTCCCATAGGACCCAGGCATGGGTCCTATGGGACGGCGGCGGAGAATCCAGCAAAAAGAAAAAAAAAAGCTCATAGCAGCTCATTGGGAGGAAACCCTCCCGATGGGCTGGACTGTGTACCAGCTCATTGGGATGAAAACCTCTTGATGAGCTGGACTGTGTTGTGTACCAGCTCATTGAGAGGGTTTCCTCCCAATGAGCTGGACTGTGTACCAGCTCATTGGGAGGAAAACCTCTCGATGAGCTGGTAGATTTACCATGGATGAGCAGTTGTTTCAACCCTTCCCCTGGCATTCATTTTCCAACAATCGAATTTGACAGTTACACTTTACCCCACTTTCAATACGTGTAAACAGCAGCATTCCCCCTATCATATCTTTCTATTTTACATAAAAAATCATTTTGGAGTTTCAAAAATAGATTTACCATGGATGAGCAGTTGTTTCAACCCTTCCCCTGGCATTCATTTTCCAACAATCAAATTTTAAAAGAAATTAATTCAAATCATCTCACAACTTGATCCACTAAAATCATCTCCACAACCTTTTGGAATATCTACTCATGAAAGATGATTGCATTTCAATTGATTTTTATTAGTGTGAGGTTTGCCTCAATCACTGCTGGATTGGATAGAGCCATAGAAAGTTTGAATGCTGAATCAACCAAGATTGATCAAGAAGAAAGCATTTCTGCCATCATGAATGGTAGATATTGAATTCATTTTTCATTGATAATATAAAGATGTGTTTGCTAATTTTTCCTTTCAAACTATTCCAAAAGAGATGAATATAAAAGGAAAATCCCACAAGCACATCAGCAGAGCAAGTTCTTCCTTGGGAGCTTTCATATATCCCATAAATGAATCAGTTGAAGATAAACCATCTAAGGCTGAAGGATGTGAGTATTATTGAATGAGTGGGATTGATATACTTAAGACTGATGATGTTTATAAATTTGGAAGGCTCAAGGAATATCAAGCATTGCAACCTAGATCAGAGTAAGTTTTGGTTTACTTCCTCCCACAAAAAGCCCAGTGTGATTGAAAAGAAGTAATTTGATTTGACAGATCAGATTTACTTGAACAAGAAATATTTCAAAGAAATTTCTAAATGTCAGGAAGAGATCCAGGAGCAATTTAATTGGCTTCACAGATCCTCATCAAAAGAAATTTCTGAACATTTGCCCCAGGCAAGAAAAATATTTGCAAGATCAAAACAAGATTTGAAGAAAATGAAAATTGTGATAGAAAAGGGTCTGGGTGATGTTGATGAAATCATTCCTGAGGGTCCACTTCAATTGATAATAGGAAGATTATCAATATCAATCTTTAAAGGGTTGATGGAGTTGATGAATCACCATAGCATTATATTCAATGATTATGATTTGAATGGTAGAAAAAAACCAAGGAAGTACCCTGCATCCATATATGAAGAAGAAACAAACCATAGTTTCAATGCTTTGACAGCTTGGAAGCATGCATTCAAAACACTTGATCTTATGTTTGAGAATCAATTCATCAGTCAGGGAGAGATCAAAAATCTCTTTCAAGATGAGAAAATGGTGAAGCAAATGGTTCACTACATTGCTGGTTATCATATGGATCAGTTTGGGTCCCACTATCATCACATCCTGGATAACCTGACTGAAAGCTGGGACTGGAGAGATTTACATAGATCCTTTTCAGGTATTTTAACTTTTATTCTTTGATGATCTGATGCCTTGCATCCGAATTTTTGCCTATGTTTTGTCATTGATCAACACTTTTTTTTCTATCAAAAAAAACAAAGTGCTGGGTTACAAAGAAGAATGTAAAATGAACCTTGTTTTTCTTGTAGGAAAGGTCAAAGCAAAAGTGCCAAAGTGCGAGAAGACGTACCAAGATGGGGAATTAGGAAGTTTTGACAGGTCTTTCATGTGTGAAAAATACTTCAACAATTTTTTACATCAGGCAAAAGATTTGAAAATTCCAGGAAGTAACAGTATTTATTTGCCTCAAGATTTGATTCATTCAAACTATGAGAATCAAGAAGAAATTCAGGAAATAATTGACAAACTGGTTATTAAAAACCCTCACTTAGACGGTACAAACCACCCATCAGATGTGAAGGCCATTTTTTATAATCTGGTGAAGCTATTCATATTCATAGAAAATGAATTATATCCAGGGATTATCTCCATACTGTAAGGATTTATCCAAGAAATATCACATGTAAATTGATAACCAAAAAAAAAACCGATAACAATTTTCTCTTTGGATACAACTTCAATTGATCTGAAACAGAGTGAAAACCCCTAAATTTTTGACCAGTATGAACAATGTACTGAAAATCCCAGCAAATTATCAAGAGCCAAAAGATCTCTTTTCTTTGGCATCACTTGTTTCTAGAATTCAAGTCTTGGGAGAAAGAGCTGAATACTCTATGAGAAGCATTTTTGTAAGTGCAGTGGATACCGGCCATAAAACAACATATGAGATTCAAAATAAGAAAAATTATGGAAGAGACATTGCTGAATTGAAACAGATCCTTCCCAAATATGAATCTACTTATTGCAAGATTTTTGGAAGTAACATTAACATTTCTGGTGCCAGAAATTATAGAAAACTTTTAAATAATGCTAAAATCCACTTGGATTATTTGATGAGAAAGTTGGATAATTCAGTTGAATATCAGGAAAGAGAGTAATAGTATATGATATGAAAGCTGCATTTGATTCAGTGTCATCTGAAGTTTGGTATGATCAAGTTTGAATTTCAATTTGATGGTTCACATGTTCACTGCCTTTGGAATTTCCGGCCCCCTTTTCCTCTTCTGCTCTCTCTTTCCATTTCTCCTGCTCTCCCTTCTTACTTTTCTGTTCTCCTGCTGCAGATTTATCCTGTCACTAAGCGTCTCAGGAGTCAGTTGCATTCCTGTTGTTTTTCAGTCAAAGATCACCATGTTCCATACTCTGGCCGTTGACCTAGATTTCAACCATCTACAATAGATTTGTAGATATCTGGTATAATTCGAGGCAGGCAAGGAAGTTTGACAGGAGCATACGTTAGGTCGTAAAGTTACAAGTTCTGGTATTGGGTTTATGTGTTTATTGCTAGGTAGCACCAGTCTCTTCCGATGAAGTCACTTTATCAGTGTGCATCAAACACACTGTTTGTCAAAATTACATGTAGTAAAATAAGTTTTAGGAGGGGATAGAGAGGATTTTGTTTACATAAGATGTCGTGACCGACTCAGGAGGTATAAGTTTTCACGTCACGAAAATTTCAATCTGCTAGGTAGTCTGTCGGCTTAGGATCGTGGACCACTTCCAGTTCGGCTCTTCTTGTCTGTTCCTCAATTTCCGCCGCCTCTCTTTCTCGTTCGGCACGCGCGAGCAGACGGATAGCTTCTTCCAGCATGTAGAGCCGGACTCGGGTCGAGCCTGTCGTACGACACTCCGGACACTGTACCCGAGCCTCAGCTGTCTTGCGAGGTTCTGGTGGTCTTAAATCAGTCGCATTCGAAGAGGCTGCCCAAGCATCTATGCAATTCTGGCAAAAGGTATCTGAAATAATAAGAACAGATTTCTGCTCAACATCCTGCACCAACAAAATGAAGCCCAGTTAACTTACGTCCACATCTTAAACTGACTGCGTCCCCTTTTTCAAGACCGTTATAGCACAATGGACATGTGAAGCATTCTCGAAGGGTGTCGATAGTGGATGAGAGCCTTTGGTGCGATTGAAGCAGTGTGGAAGATGAGAGTGGATACTGGTTTGCGTCGTCTTTTAAACGTTTGATGACCTATCGAGAGTTGAAAAAGATGATGACTTTTTTCTCGATTTATAAAATGTGTACTATATGAATACGATTTGAATCGAGATGGGTTGGATGGAGATGAGGGAAATACTTCGTTTCACTTACCACATCTTGTGAGGCTATTTGTTTTTTGAGTTCTGCCATAGTTTCCCAAGCCGCATCGCACTGCTTAGTCGAAATATCCATCAACTTTGTGAAAAATGAGAGAGGTGGAATTCTATATCAGCATTATGCAATTCTACTTTCGTCGGATTGTTACAGGAAAGCTCAAGAGAGGGGGGAACAGGAACAGCTTGGAATCACACCTTAGCTTTTTGACTGATCACATCTTCTAATTCCAGCACCTTCCTCTCGGCGTGAGTCTTAGCCATCTTCGCCACTTTTAATTCAGCAGCCAAGCGGTTGATAGTTTGTGATTTCGATTCTCCTGGTTTTTGAATCGGTGGCGGATTGATTTGAGATTGCGATGGAGTTTGGTCTCCAAGCTCGATTGGGGCCATGAGTCGACTGATTAACAAGTTGGACCTGTTGGGAGGAACTTTCTGGTTTCTGGTGGTCGTTAGATACACCCGGGTCCCGGGCGCATGTAGGCTGCTGATCGCCGTCTCCTGACCGACCCCTCGAATTCCCCGTCGAGTTGCCCCGTGATATCTCCGAAGCAATCGGTTTCTCGATCAAAATTTATCCCACTCAACTTGATCAAAACTTAAAGGGGTGGGTACCCCAATCTTATTGGCTGACAAACCGATTCATATAACAGGAGAGCCTCAAGATTTAACTCCATTTAACAAATATCTGATAATATCAATCCAAAAGGCAGTTCTGTTCAGAGGTTTAGTAGCAACAATTACTTCGGCCAAATGTTGACCTGGAAATCTTTTTTTGTCAAGGAATTATTGTCGGTAACCCAATTTGAGAAGACAAAGAGAATGGCATGCCATGCCTCAACCAAGCAAAAATACACATCTAGTCAGAACTTATACTGGGTAATGGTTTTGGGTGTACTTCTTCTCGTTCTGATAATTCTTCAGGTAGTATTTCTTCATGTTAACCAAGGATTTCATGCAATTTACATGTGATCAATGCTTACATCAAAAAAAGAGAAAAAAAAAAAGCTCAAGGCTTCAAGATTGTCTAGTGTCGCTGGAATGTAGATTGTTTATAGTTGGGTCAAGTGAGTGAAGCATTAAATTAGCAAGACAGGCCAGAATCAGTAGTATGTTATCATAGCCCGCAGTGTGAGACTCGGGTGAACACCAAGGCCATGAAGGCGATCAATTGCTCCTGAGAAGCGGATGTCAGGTGTCAGGTTTACTTGTGAATTGGGCGCTGTTTCTTAGGGAATGCTTACTCTGGGGGAATTCTCAGCACACGAGAGGGTGTAGACGGAGACCTTTTCGGAACCTTTGGTCAACCAGGAATCCTTACGCCTTTCGTCTGATGCAACAAAAAGACAGTCAGACACCACCCATGCAGACCATTTTGTGCGCATATGTTAAATGAGACTGACTCTTAAGTTCAGCGATGAGATCGCCATCGTGTCCATTGACTTGCGCATAAATTTGACCTAGTGGGATTTTTTTTTCTTGGTTATTTCAATGAAACCAGAGAACAAGAACATTGGGCATTTGAGGAACATACCACCTTTATTGGCAAACCCTCTGTTGAACTTAAAGTTCTGCCGCACCCCAGCGTCGTCAATGTAGCTGAATCTCCATTTGTCCTTTAACATGCCGCGCGGATAAATCTCAACTCTTCGATGTTTTGATGTTGGGGATTTCGGCTCCTCGAAAGTTGTCTTGACAGCGCAAAAATCATTTAACTGAGGACCGTGATAGTCATGAAGAAATCAAACATGATTTTTGTGAGAAGGTGTGATAATTGGAATTTTTAGGTGCAGTGATTGAGGGAAACTCACCGAGACAAGGTCAAAGACAGTTTGAGAAGAGCCGGTCTGAAGCTCACAGGTGGAGAGCCCTTGATCGGAGTCCAGATGGACCTTAGAAAACTCGTAAGCGATAGTGCCGTCTGCGGCGTAGATCTTCAGTGGGCCGTTGGTATAGTCAACAGGTTGTGTCATTATATAAAGGAAATTGAGAGGGGGGCCGGAGTGCCTGTGCTTGTGTTTGCGGCGTTCGAGATGAGAGGCCGAGCATGAAGGATGGATTAGGGTGAAAAGAGGGAAGATGGCCAATAGGTAAAGAACAAAGGGTTTGCTACTCCAGCACATTCTAACGGTAATATCGGCTGGAAAAAGCGGAGTGATGAATGACAGTGGCTTGACGGCTTCCACTATCGCCGAGAGGTCTCTGTATTTATAGCCACTGACGAAGCGCAGACAGGCATCCGCAAGATAGGTCGCGTCACTCGCCGAGTTTACCCGATGTGATCCATATCTTCGACCTTCTTAAGCCGTCTTTACTAAAAGTGAAACTCTCTCCTTGAAGGATGTAGACCAGATGAGTTCTTGGAGAACACCCGAAATTCAGAAGCTCTCTGCTCTCAGCCTCTTCCAGCTGGAACATCTTGGTTACATAGTGCATATTGGTTTGTTCTGATGTACACCCTTGGACACCGACCGCTTGGCACTGTGACAAGTTCAACAAAGCCACTCGGAGTCGAAGAGACGCCCCGGAATGTTTTCCCCGTTCTCCATTCATCTCCGGCTCCTGTATGATGTTTCAAGAGGATGAGGGAGTGTACATAGCAGCTTGGCATTGCGGAGAGAGCATGTGATATTCCCTTTTTTAATTGTTTCATCCTGACTCTGAGGATGTATTTATGTGCGTGCATACACTACGGAAGCCCACAGGGGACTCCAATCGGCTCACACTTTTGAAAAGTGAAAAGTGAAAAATGAAAATACAGATTTCTGTATTCCATTTAAAATACAGATGTCTGTATTTTACAACTTCAGAATTCAAACATGTATTTCCAAATCACATTGTCTATTACATACATACATATTGTTTGAAGCGATCATCGATTCTACAACAACAGCAGCGGAAGAAGAAGTCGGGCTCTGACTCGGAGCCTGGAGGGAGAGGAGCTGAAGAGCCAATCGTTTGGGGCAACACCAAGGATGCTCAAGGTGGGACCACTCCCACAGCGGATGTTGAAGGAGCCAGCCGGGTCGGGAAACCGGGCAAGCTCGCACGTGATGATCAGTTCGCTGAGCGGCAAGAAGCCGATGAACCAGATCAAGAACCGCTTGCATGTCGCCAAGATCGTAGAAGGACTAGTAGCAGCAGTAAGGGCAAGGAGAAAGAGGACGGCCATGAGCTCGACGATCAGGGCGGGAACCAGGCTGATGGGGGACATCTTAATCACTCCTCCAGAGGGCCCGCTGAATACCATCACCCCCCACATCGCCGACCGAGAAGTCCTTCTCCACCTCGCAGTTGTGCAGGAGTTCTGGGACGGCTTGGGGGCTCTTGTAGCCCGTTACGTCGCGTACGATCTCAGGAGCTTGTCGGTCGACAAGAATGCTGAGATCGCCGGCTTCTTGGGAAGCTCTGCCCAGATCCCCGTCTGAGATGACCTCGCGTAACGCGCACTGCTCATCTTGCTCATCAAGTCACCCCCGAATATGTGCCGAGTCTCCTGTGAAATAGTTGTCTATCGATATAGAGTCCGTGCCCTGTACTTCAATGTGGAAGTCCGACGTTCACGGGCTATATAACTTTCCTCCTTATGTTTGTGCTCAAGGAGCAGGCCGCCTGATCTGAGAATTCTGTTCTCATGTTTCCGCTACCAGAAGGTAAAACACATAATAGACTATGTGATTTGAAATACACGTTTGAATTCTGAAGTTGTAAAGTACAGAAATCTGTATTTTGAATGGAATACAGAAATCTGTATTTTCATTTTTCACTTTTCATTTTGCAAAAGTGTGAGCCGATTGGAGTCCCCTGTGGGCTTCCGTAATACACCGTACTGCGGACGCCCAGGACAGTGGTCATTATTGGAACCTCAAGGTCAAAAGTGTAGGATTCCAGTCATCCTGACTGGTGTCGTGCTGCGGTGAGGCAGAGGCCTGTAACTTCATGTTTTTTTTAAGTATAATTCTTTAGTATCTGACTACATATAAGCAGAAAAAAGAGTCAGGATGATAACTGGCAAAAGTAGTTCATGTTAAAACAGTCATAAACTGCGCCGACCTGAAATTGCGCCAATCGCGCCATCACGTCGGAGGGGCTCATAAAATACACCTCGGGCGCAGTTCGACGTGGGCGGACACCATTTTTTTTGGTGGATCCCACGGGTGGCCACTGCGGCGGGTCGGACCAGCAGCTGACGGTCCACAGTTTTGTGTGGACTCCACCCCTGCATCCATGTGGGCACCCGATGGACACAAGGTGAAGTCCACGTGGAGCCTGGAGTCACCAATCAGTAAGTTCTGGTGCAGCGCAAAAACTACCTGGCACGGATC